TCCTCTTCTCCCCTGCTGCCTCTAAGCAACTCCATCCAAAAGGCACAGCTTTGGCTTCTACCAGTCCTGCTTCATGGTCTCAGCAGCTCCAGCCTTAAAGCTGCTGTGGCCCAAAACGCTATGAACAGTTTTTTCTTTTTCTCATCATGGCTTCCCCTGCCTTCATGAACTCTGTAGGTCTCTCCTTCTCTTCCCCTGAGCTCCCCCAGCCCTAGCTTGGCTGTTGTTACATTTTTGTAGTTGTAAATTGGTTGATTTGTGAGAGAGGGTTGCTGGGAACCATCCATTCTGGCATCTTGACTGGGACTCGATTTTTTCATACTTTAAAATGTATGTGTAGGGCCAAGCCCGTGGTGCATTCAGGAGAGTGTGGCGCTGGGAGTGCAGCAGCGCTCCCGCCACGGGTTCGGATCCTATATAGGGATGACCGGTGCGCTCACAGCGCTCACTGGCTGAGCGCGGTGCGGCCGGTCTCAAAAAGGACAAAAAAATAAATGCATGTGTAAAAATAGACATAGGTCTATAACGGCAATATCAGGCCCCCTTTTGAATTTCCCCATTACTGCCACAAGGTCTCAAGTTGTCAAACTAACATCTAATAAAAAATCAGAATTCCACATCTATGGAATAGAGACTAGTCTATTGCCTGGTTGGAGACCAGTCTAGATCTAACAATGACTGATGTCCCGGTAGCAGTACTCCGTGCAGGGAAAATTTTAAAAATTTCTCGTTTGTTTCCTAATATAAAGCCCTAGAGTATTCTGGGAAATGTAGTCTCACTGACCACTAACGGAACAGGCACAGGAGTATAGAAAAAGGTCTTCGTGTGTTTCTTCTGCGCATGTGCCTCCTGGCTCACCTCGCTGTCTGGGAAATGTAGTTTTGCCTTGCAATGACGTCACCCTCACGGGACTACTTTGGGACAGGGTTTCAGGGTTTTTACTGCGCATGTGCGGCTCTGCGCACTCCGCTATCTTTTGTGTGGAGATTTTGGGAGCTGCCGCAGTACCTACCCTGCTCCTCAGATTCTGAGGTTGGATTGTGCCTCCCTGAAGGTGGGTGTGAGGGTGAAAGAGGAGCCCCGCGGGCCTTGGGGGTGCTGAGGAGCGGGACGGTGTCTCAGCATTTGGAGGGCAGAAACGCCGGGGGCCTCGGGTGGGCAAGGCCTGACGTGTGGCGCGAGCGCGGACCTGGGCCGGGCCAGGAGGGGAAGGGGCGTCGGGTTGCGCCTTCCAGACGGTTCCAGACGGTTCCGTCAGAGGACGGCGCTGCCGGAAGGAGGGCTGGCTCTGCAGGTGTGCAGAAGCTGGTTCCAGATGTCCCAGGACGGGGCTCAGGTCCAGGGTGGCGACGGGAACGTGGGTGGGGGCGTGTGAAGATATTAATGGACTCAGGACTGGCTGCCCGCCTCTTTGAAAAGGAAAGAAAAAAACCTCAGAATTCAAATGGTTGGTGTTAGAAGAGCAGGTGTATTCAGCTGAAGGAGACGGCAGGCTACCCCATCTCAAAGATTTACGTTTACTGAGGTGTTTTTAAAGGAAGGTTTGAGGGAATGGAATGTGGGAGGCGAAAAGCAGGAGACGTGAGTTACGTGGGGTCTCTGTATGCATCAGGTACAAGGTCTAGTCAGGCTTCATCTGATTTCTGTTCTCATCTTCACTGTTGTCTCAGGACCCTGTAAGATTTGATTTGTGCCACTGTGCATGGCTGGTGCCCAAGGTCAGCTTCCAGTCGTTTGGCCTTAATCGTTTGTCAGAAGTCTTCAAATCTTAAAGAACTGTTAGCTTTGCAAAGAAGTAATTAGCTTCTCAGTCTTGTTTTCCTACTTAGCGAGTGAGATAAGAAAGTCAAGGGATGGGAAGCTAGAGTGGAGAGAAAAAAACTGTCCTTTTAAAAATTCTCCCCCATCTGACAAAGGACTAATATCCAGAATATATAAAGAACTCAAACATCTTTACAAGAAAAAAAAAATAAAGTGAACAAAAAAATAAATAAATAAATAAAAAATAAAAATTCTCCCCCAGCCCCCGCATCCCAGGCAGCTTTACTGCCCAACATGTCTTCAGTCCTGTTAACTCTAACAAAGACAGCGAGCCTGGGAGGTGTGCAGGAGGTCATATTCCAGCTCCGCCATCCAGGAAACTGGTACCGACCTATGGGACATTGACTTTACCCATCTGTAACATAAGCATGTTGATATTAGTGTAATGCCACCAGATTTCCGGAGAAATAACTGTGAGGCGTGTGCAGACAGTGTTACTCTGTGGCAGTTGTGTTGTGGGGTTTCTTGGTGTCTCTTCAGGTCAAGTTTCTGGTCACTCCTGCACTGTGTAGTCTGCCTAGCACTCCCAGTCTGTGTTTACAGATGTTGATATAAGACCAAATTTTCAGGGACAGTGACTTCTAGGAGAGACATTGGGGCATGGGATAACATTCTGCTTTTCTTTGGGGTACAGGAGCTATGACAGAGTTTGAAGGAGGGTGCCCTATGAATGCGAATAAGAATCCCACCTGGGCGAACATCACTGTGGCCTGGACCCTCTCAGGACTGCTTCAAAGCAAAGGCAAAAGAGTCCCAGAAAGGCATAGCTTTCACAGCCCACGCAGTTATTTAGTCTAGTCCTTACAGTGCATAGGAGTTGGCCGATAATACTGTATTCAGTAGCTATCTGAGACTGGGTGATATTGGAAGATTTAGTCCAACTTTGAAAAGGGAGAGTGAGTTTGAGAATAGGTAAAGACCTAGGAAATGTTAGTCACTGAAGAGGTTTGAAGGTGTTCTGTGGGGTGCAGGAATAACCTGTCACAGCTGAGAGGATCTGTCTGCAGTGCTCTCTGAACACACTCCCATTCCTTCAATTTTCCCTCATTGTTCTTAGTGTCTGAACTCTCTCAAACCCAGCCTATCACCAATTTTGGCATCTAGAGATATGCTGTTGGTTTTGCATCTTCATAGTTTCATTCTGGTAGTTCAGGAATATTTTGTGAGGTATTTCTATCTTGGAAGAAAAGTGAAAATAATTAGACATGAGGAAATGTGGGTTGCCCAGGGTCACATGATTTGTTGATCTTACATATGCTGACTTTTTGCCTGTTCTCCATTTTGCCACACTTTCATCAAAACAACTGTTTGTTCACTGTTGACATTACTTCTGTAATGCTGAAGTCAACTTAAAACAATGTATGCTTTAACATACGTTGCCTTACACATCCTTATCCTTTTTTGATCTCCAGTGCTTTCTGTGGATCATGTCACCACAAAGAGTAAATAACAAGTACTTCCTTAAATGTCAGTATTCTGTTCTTGAAAATCACCAATTTTGCCAATATATATGTATAGGAGGCAATTTTACATAAATGGGAAAATTAGGATACTAGTGTGCTTCAAATACTTCGTGGAGAGATCCCTATTTTCAATTATATTTTTCCATGAACTTTTGAAAGTACTCTGGTGCAGTTCACTACTAACTTATAAGAAACAGACACTTTTTATGTTTTTAAAGTAAACAACTTCTACATGATATTAAACAAAACAAAAAACCAGAAAATCTGGCACCATAGTTTACTGATGTGCAAGCAATTGGTTTTATTGGTTCACATAGCCTGCATTAGCACCAGGAGCCTTAATGAAGTCCTCTTAATTGACATTCATTGTAATTTTCAAAACTTGTCCCTGTGGTTTTGAAGGTATATTGATTGTATTTGGCATATAGTTTAAGGTTTTTTTCTCACGCATAATTTTGCTCAAAACATTGAGTTCTGGGGGCTTAGGTGTATCATTTAGCATTTGCCATGTAAGGAACAAATTAAAACCAAATGGCTTTAAAAATCTAGCCATTTTATTATGTTGAGGTTCTGTGAATCCACATTTTGGGTGTGTTTAGCTGGGCAGTTCAGCTTTAGTCACCTGGTGCCTTGACTGAGGCTGGTTGGTTCAAGATGGCTTCACTCACATATCCTGTGGTTTGTGCTGACTCTTGGTTGGGCCCTGTGTCTCCAAAAGTTTAGCCCCAGGCTTCTTCACACTATGATTGTGTTTAAGAAGGCAAGTATCCGTGGCCAGTTCTTGTCAAACTTATGTTTGCATGACGTTTGTTAATGTGCTGTTGGCGAAATCAAGTCAAATAGCAAAGCCCAGTTCATTGTCAGAGCGTACTACATGAGGGTTTGGGTGCTGGGAGATCCATCACTGAGTAATGTTATTGGAATAGTGTACCAAAAGAAATATACATAATGTGTATTTTATTTTATTATATTTTATTATTTTATTTTATTTAAAAAAGATGACTGGTAAGGGGATCTTAATCCTTGACTTGGTGTTGTCAGCACCACATTCTCCTAAGAGAGCTAACCAGCCATCCCTATCTAGGGATCTGAACCCTTGGCCTTGGTTTCAGCACCACACTCTCCTAAGTAGGCTATGGGCTGGCCCCATAATGTACATTTTTTACCTATGTGATCATGGGTAAAAGATGTTGGGTTGCATGATGCATACTAAACAAATATTTAGGTACATATAAATAAGATGTGTTCTAGTGGAAACACTGATCTGGAGTCATGTGTGGAGTCATTATATTAATATGAAAATAGTAATACAGCCTAACTATATTTCTATAGCATTAGTTTTAGCAATGACACAATGTGTTTTTCTTTGGTTTAAATGGTGAAGTTTTATTTTAGGTAATGTTGATTCTTGCTAAATCTGTAGGTAATGTATGTTTTTATTAACTCCAAAAATAAATTGTGTGTCTAATGTGTACCAATTAATGTACTTGCAGATGCACATTTAATGGGTCTTTGTTACAACTTATTGACCATAAAGGATTGTTGTCTCACAGGGTGGCTTCTTGTTTGTCTGTCTTTTCCAGCTAACGTGTACAGAGTTTTGTGCAGGAGAATCTGGGGTCGAGCCACAACAGTTCTCGCCTTAATCCACTCTATTCCTTCCTCTCCTGGCTAAGCTGCCAGAGTGCACTGTGCATTTCCAAGAGCAAGAAAAGATGGATAAATCTCTGGTGAGTTGTTTCTTTATTTATTCTTCATTTTTTTCACTGTATTACCTGGGTACTACGAGGAGCATGAATTAAAATGAAAAAGCAGAAATGAGTAAACCTCAGCCTGAAGGAAATGTACATATGTAAGGTCAAGTTTGCATGTACATATACAAAGATTTAATAACTCAGAGTATCTAAGTTGAATAAAAATTTGTCTCTGGTCTGTCTAATGTTATGTCAAAAAAGCAGATGCTTTTTTTACATGATTGGAGTGGACCTGAGAAGAGAATATACCGAATTCTCATGGGATATGAGGATATATTGGCACTAAATTTTGTTGTTGTTTTTAAAAAGATGACTGGTAAGGGGATCTTAACCCTTAAATTGGTATTGTCAGCACCATGCTCTCCTGAGTGAGCTAACCGGCCATCCCTGTATGGGGATCCAAACCCTTGTCCTTGGTGTTATCAGCACCACACTCTCCCAAGTGAGCCATGGACCAGGCCTGGCACTAAATTCTGAAATTCCATCTCTATTAGAATGTTTTTGACTGCCAACCTGCAAATAAACACATAGCTTTCCACAGAGGAAATGGTTGGTGAGTGCTAAGGCACATGTTGCTGAATAAGTAGACTGTAAGGTTTCATGTAATTTAAGACTTTCTCACCCACATAATTTTGTTTAAATATTCCAAGTTCTGGGGGCTTACATGTATTATTTAGCATTTGCTGTGTAAGAACAAATCAAAATGCAATGGTTTCGGGCCGAGCCCGTGGCGCACTCGGGAGAGTGCGGCGCTGGGAGCACAGCAGCGCTCCCGCCGTGGGTTCGGATCCTATATAGGGATGACCGGTGCACTCACAGCGCTCACTGGCTGAGCGCAGTGCGGCCGGTCTCAAAAAAAGGACAAAAAAAAAATGCAATGGTTTCAAATATTTGGCCATTTTATTTCCTTGAAGTTCTATGGATCGACATGTTGAGTGTACTCAGCTGGGCAGTTGTTATGCTAGCGTTACCTGGATGGCAAATGTAGCTTTAGTGACCTGGTGCTGTGACTGAGGCTGTTGATTCAAGATGGCTTCACTTACAAGTCCTGTGGTTTGTGTACAGATTTGGACGACTGTACTTAATTCATGGATAAAACATGGAATTATCACTTAAATTACAGCGAAATCCAGTGCCGATTCTGTAGTCTTTTTCTAACTTGAATCCTCTGCCACATTTGAAACTGCTGTTCGTGATCTCATGGAAAGTCTTCTGTGTTAGTTTCTCTCATGGCATTACCGATGGTTTTCTCTCTTCTTCCTTCTTCTTTCTTCTTCTAAACATTGCTCATCACAGGGCTTCATTCTGGGTGCTATTCTCACTGTGCTCTTCTTGACTGATTCATTCCTCTGTAGTTTACACTCTTGGTTCTCTTTAGCTTCTTCCCTTTTCTACTTCTTCTCTTTTCCTTGGGTCATAGGTTCGACTCGCTGTTGACTGCTTTTTGTAGCTATTCAAAAGGTACCTTAAGGTCAATGAATCCAAAATGAAAATGATATCTACTTCTTTTCTCTTACATGTGGTATCACTACGATCCATGCAGTGACCCAAGCCAGTGAAATGGGATGTTTTCTGGACTCTTCCCTGTTTCTTGTGTCTAATCCTTTGTGGTGTCAATTCTTGCTACTTTTGTTTGCTTGTTATTTTCATTTATTCAGATTTCTGTATACACTGCCTATATAGGGGGAGGAGGTGTTGGTACTTATAAAGACAATAACTTTGTTCCATTGGAAATATTCTTGTAAAACCCTGAAGGGCATGTTTCCTGGGTGATGAGATTCAATCCCTGGTGACCTGTGCTTCTAACAAGTACCTGTGGTGACATCCTTAATAGTCTGAGGGAAGAAAGCCTTCAGAAGTTAGTGGGACATTCATGAAGAGCCAATAAAAGGGCATGCAAAAAATAAAAACAGAAATTGCAGATTTTCATAATTTGTTCATTTTGCTTCTATAAATTTATGTCAGTGATTCTACGTGCAGTTTTTCCTACTGTACAGTTTTCTGTTCCTAGTTCAAGAAGACTTGTCATATTTTTAAACTTTCTTACATATTGTATTTTATGCTCCTGTTTCAGGTAATCACTTAGAAATGAATGAGAAAAATGGTTGTGTGCATTAGTCATCAGTATATTTATAAACCAAAACCATAGCTAATAGTCGGTTAAGAAAGAAAAGTGACAAAATAGTTAACTGAAGGTTGACATTCTCAGAGTTTGAGACGTAACATAAGATGTGAAATGCTCGCTTTATTTTGGACTTAATGTTCAGTGTGAACCTACATTCTTCTTGTTGCATATCACAGTACTGTCTATGGTTTCTAATGACTTGTTTGGTGTTCCAGTGATCAGCTGTGTAGCAAAGTGATACAAAACCAAGTTGCTTAGAATAAGAATTTCTTCCTTACTCTGTGTTGGAGTGTTGTGGGTAAGACTGTAAAAGGACAGTGTAGGTTGGCTGCTACATGATGTGTCTGGTCTCATATGGAAGAACACTAGTGGCTGGGGACGTTGGGCAGACATCCAGCCCTCTCTTTGTGGCCAGGTGGGCTTCCTCAGAGTCTGGCAGTCTCAAGGTAGTCAGGTTTGTCTGGCTTCTCCTACGGCAGTTGTCCAAGAGGCCCAGGAAGTGGCTCTGAGGCATCTGGTTATCTATACTCAGATACCAAGGCATGTCTCCTAACCCATTTTTTTAGTCAAGCACATCACTAAGAGCAGCCCTGATTCAAAAGGAAGACAATTAGATTCCACCTCTCAATAAGAGGAATAGTAAGACTTTGCAGCAGTCTTTAATAGACCACAGTTTGCTTTCTGGCCAGAAGTTTCTACCACATGCAAAATGTATTTTGCCCCTCTCAAGAGCCCTAGAAATCTTCTACTGTTATACCATTTACTGAAAACCCAAGTAAATCATGTCCAGTGACATGTTATTTTCATCTCCTCAACATGTGGCCAGCTCACATTGAGGACAATGGCATAAACATTTGGGCACTTCCCTTCAGACACAGTGGGTGGTAAGGGACAGAACCCTGCAGGCACTGGTTTGAGCAGTAGGTTTTGCACATTGGGCACCTGGTTTAGTTCTTTGATTAGGGCCTCATGTTTGTCTCTGGAAACAGTGTCTCCTACTTCTGCACTGTGCCCTCTGGGCTCTCACTATTCTCTGTCAACATCCATTTTTCTTAAATGCCTGTTTGCAGTTGACCAATTTCTTTGCCTATTTTTAGGTTATAGTAGTTGAAAACCCAATGACCCTTTAAGAATTTTTTTCTAATTATGCTCTTTAGGGAAATTACCCTTGTACATTTCTAAAAAGCACAGGCTTCCATTGTACTATAATCCATCATACCAATGCTACCTCTGTGTTAGGCCCTTTGTTCTCTGGCCTCGCCTTCTCTCTGAGGCAGCTATTTCTTAAGGAGTTTTATTTATCAGGCACTGTCTATGTATCACACCCTATCGTACTTAGAATAGTGGAAATATATATATATATATATATATATATATTTTTTTTTGTCCTTTTTGAGACCTGCCGCACTGTGCTCAGCCAGTGAGCGCACCGGTCATCCCTATATAGGATCCGAACCCGTGGCGGGAGCGCTGCTGCGCTCCCAGCGCCGAACTCTCCCGAGTGTGCCACGGGCTCGGCCCAGAAATATATTTCTTAAACAAAACACTGTAATTCTTGAAACAAAGTAGTTTGTGTCTTTGAAAATATTTTGTTGGAAAAAACTTGTGTTGAAAAGTAGTTTTCTTTTAAACTCAGCAAATTTTGGCTCTATTTTCCATAAAAACAAATACTATGGGTTTTCACAACCACATGACCAGCCGCACAGGATATTCTGAAAGGTATACTACATCTCATATCTGAACAACAATAATCATTACCATGAATATAAAGGAATAATATCCATTAATAGAACAAAAATGCTAATATTAAAGAGAAAAAAATCTTCTATCTAACCACCTCAAAAAAACAACAAACACAGAAGACAAACTATAAAATGGAAATAAAGGAACAAGAGGTATTTCAAACATACAAACAAAAATCAAAATGACAGGAGCAAGTCAACATATTTAAACAGTAACTCTTAATGTAAATGGATTAAATACCCCACTCAAAAGACACAGACTGACTGATCGGGTTAATGATAAAGGGATCTATCCAGTAAGAAGAGATACTAATCATAAGTATATATCCACCCAACATTGGAGTACCCAGATAACTAAGGCAAATGCTATTAGACCTGAAGAAATAGATAGACTCTAATATTATAATAGTTGGGGACATGAGTTCCCCTCTCTCATTACTGGACACATCATCTAGGTGAAAAATCAACAGGAACACATGATTTAAACTGCACTTTAGACCAATTGGACTTGGCAGACATCTACAGAACATTTCATTCAGCAACTACAGCATATATATTTTCCTCAGCACAATGAACGTGCTCAAGGATACACCACGTTAGGTCACAAATCAAGTCTCAGCAAATTTTTATAATTGAAATTATTTCATTTATATTTTTGATAGCAATTGATTTAAACTAGAGATCAATAACAAAGAAAGCTCTGGAAAGTTTACAAATATGTGAAAATTAAACAACAATCTCCTGTATGACATGGATCCAAGAAGAAATTAAACAGGAATTCAAAAAGTTTCTTGAAAGTAATGAAAACAGAGACAAGTCATACCAAAACATGTGGGATACTGCAAAAGCAGTACTGAGGGAAATTGATTGTGATAAATGCTTATATTGGAAGACTAGACGGGCTGTAAATAAATATTTGAACACTACACCTCACAGAATTAGAAAAATAAAACAATGACAAAAGTAGTAGATAGAAAGAAATCATTGGGCCGAGCCTGTGGCGCACTCGGGAGAGTGCGGCGCTGGGAGCATAGCAGCGCTCCTGCTGCGGGTTCGGATCCTTTATAGGGATGACCGGTGCGCTCACAGTGCTCACTGGCTGAGTGCGG